GCACGAGTCTGGTGGGGAAACCGGACAAGCAATGCTGAGGTTAGGTGCAGGGTTTTAGGTCATCCTGGTCGCCTACTAGAGCAAGTAGCCGATCTACATAAACTACGGTTGTTGGGACATATATTGCGTATGTCACGAAACAGGTTGAAGTGGCTTACGATGTTTGTCGAAGCAGGCCTGTTAGAAAAAGGTTAAGTGCGGCCAAACTAAGACCGCGCATGAGGGTATGAAAACTCTAACCATGACACGGGGTCACTTAGGTACCGCGAGGCTCCCTTTATGGGGACCCCGAGATCATTGTAACCGGTGGTCAGAGACAGAGTGATATAGCTGGATGCCGCAAACAGTGGCGCTCGTGCATCTACTCAAAATTCTTGCAACCCCAGTTTATACGAATTATCTATCTTCTCTTTGACTGTGCTCCCAACACTGCTCTTTTATCCAAAAGGGCGGGAAAAAGATAGCAACCAAATTCATGGTTGATGGTCGTGAAAACTGAACTAAATTAACCTGTTTCTGGTAAATCGACTGAATTTACGTTCTATGCGCATAGCCTCAGATACTCGATAACCTTATCAAACGGAATAAACTTGGTAATTGATGCATCGTTCCTAAAAATGGGCCAATTCAATTCGATTTTTCTGTATCCAAACCAACTTCTTTATCGCCTTGGTGATAGCTTACATTGTTATTCATGAAATCACCCATTGGAGCAAATTCTGTACCAGATTAGTCTAGCTAGTGAGTAAAGTCTAATGGATAATGGTGCGAAAGTGGTTTTAGTGGCTTTCAGTGATGTGCCCCGGATTATAAGGTCCAACTTGCCATTCAACTTTGGTCGTAGGCAGCTTCATTGTTGCCCGGAACAACACCATGTCTATCGCACTGGGTCCGTACGTGGTTCTTCACTCCATTCTTAGGTAGCCAGAAACCATAAACAAGTAGCACGTTTTTGTGACTTTGGGGTTTACCGGGCATACTGCTCATAAAACAATGGTGTGGAACACTTTCGAAAAATAAATAACTGAGCTTGGTGTCATTGTGCTTAGCAAAAATGGAAACATTATTGTTACTTATCACCGGCTTGTTCGTAAATAACTGACCTCATCCAGAACAACATATGTACACTGGTTAAGAACCATGTATCGATTTTCCAACACATCGTTCAATCGACCGGGTGTGGCAATAACAATTTCCGCGCCCATCCTCAGTTTCAGCGCTTGATCTTCTCGAGACAGACCGCCAATCAATGATACTGTCTTAATACCCAGGGGGCGACCAAATTTCACTGTTTCCTCTTCAATTTGTTGGGCTAATTCACGCGTGGGAGCCATAATGATCGCATAGGGCCCTTGTTCCGTATCCTTGGGTAATAAATGAGATTAGACTCAATAAACAGTAGCATACCTCCATACGCTCCAGTTTCGGTAGCCGCTGGATCCAGTTAAGCAAAGGTATAAGGAAAGCAGCTGTTTTTCCAGAACCGGTTTCTGCCACGCCAATTATATCTCGATTTTGTAGTCCAATGGGAATAGCTTGTCTTTGTATAGGAGTAGGCTCATTATAACCAATCTGGAAGGAATATGGTTAAACAAAACAATCATGTATAGAGCATGATAAACTAATCACCTTTCGGATAACTTGAAGAAGCTCGGGGCTGGCAGACATTTCTTCCCAAGATCTCAGGGGGCAAGGAATATTTCCACCTTTTGTGGCGATTCCATAATCTTCACGAAAGATACGCCAATCTCGTTCAGTCATCTGTGATACTGCTTTCTCAGACCAATGCCTGTCATCCCATTTTTGTTTAGCTTCACGTTTTGCCACGCTGTCAAGACGTTTTCTGAAGGGAACGAATGAAAAAGTAATCAAATAACTTACTCCTCCTGGACTTTCTGAGTATCAGAACGCCTTTCCCCAAGCAGCTTTGCGTAAAACCGACCGATCTCTTTTTTCTGTTGCTAAATTGAAACATCGCATAAAGGGGCACACAAGAGAACTTACCTTAATATCTATTCCTCCAATGTGACCGCGTCCGAAAAATTGAATCTGGTGCTTTTCTTTGTACAGTGGATTATAGTCCTGACTAGTGTCCTCTGCCGCATCCCAATCAAACACGAACTTTCTCTCATTCAAACGACGCTGACGACGCTTTGTTAGACGCTTCTGGCCCAAATAGCGCTCCTTAATTGCTTCTAACTCTTTCGTTTCATCTTTTTCGGTATTACGTGTATCGGCTGCTGGTTTTGATGGGATGCCACGTCCACGAGTTCTCCTATAGTCACGTTCAATGTATTCTGGACGTTTGAAATGTTCTACATCTGAAAAAATGAGCCTCCTGTAACAACAAAAATACCTTTAGCTTGTCCTAGATATTCCGTTTGTTTTTTTAACTCTGCCATTTGCCTTTCACGCTGAGCCTGGACCTCCATCTGTCTCCGCTTCAACGCCTCGGCTTGGCGTTCTTCTTTAGAGATGAATTTTGGCTTTACTTGTTCTGCTTCTTCGGCTTTTTTCTTCGCAATTAAATCCTCTAGTGAAATCGGCACTTTCTTCTGAGGCACAGCACTTTTGGTTCCCGAGCTTCCGTCCCCGGAATGAACACTTTCGGATTTCGCCTCTGATCTTGATGTATGCTGAAGTGGGAGAGGTTTTCGGAAATCGGCATTATTATATCGGTCTGCCGATGGAGATGATTTGATTGAAACTTCGTTAATCTCCCGTCGATCCCTGGACGAATTATAAGTGTGAACCGGCGAATGAGCACGATGCGAACTGATGGGGTCAACTTTCAATCTAACAGGTTCACTCTCGTGCACATTCTGTGATTCTGTTGAAGTCTCCTCTTTGGGTTTCTTTGAAGGGGGTGCTTCTTCTTCCAACAGCTCTTCCTCAGATCTGTAGAAAAACAACGTCGTAGTTATTTTTTGCTTCTGGTTTCAGAATACCTAGGAGCAGTTTCTAGTGACAATACAGTTTACTTAATACAGAAAGAGTACAGTATTTTGCAATATGTCCAATACATAAGAGTATGCTAGTAACTAAGAAAAAGCCATCCTCAAAGTTCACAATATACCCTTTTGACTTCGTTTCCTAGACATTTTTATAGCTACCCAAGAAGAAACAAGGCTAAAAGTAAAAAACTGCAAAAAATGATACACTTAGCAGAGCTATGAAGAACCATAAGATATTACCGATTAATTGAGCATAACAAGGGACAGCACCTATTCGACAGGCAAGTATCGAGTAAACGATATTCAAGGGTAAAAACAGCATTTACGTCCTTATTTCATTTGTCTTACGAAAGCCTTAATAATGCAGATCAGCACGTAAATTTTGTACCAAATATTCAACAATCAAAATGGAACGGTAATTAGCACAGAATTATCACTGTCCGTAAAATTTAAAAAAAGCATCAAAGGAAATGATAACACTTCAAAGGCACATGGAGACACAATGGACTAACGTGGCTCGCCACCCCAAAGCTCAGAGTGAGGGTCTCCATAACCAAACAGTAGATAGTTTTAATTATAGATTTATTTGATGCCGGTGGTAGCGCAGTGGTTTGGCTGCTGCTGCTATGCGTTGGACTCAGTGGTCCGAGGTTTGAAGCCCCGCAGAGCCACTCAGCTTTGTTTTTTATTTCAAACATTTTTGTATGATGAACGGCAGACGGGGTGAACTCCAAAATTACGTAGAGCCCCACTAAACGTGGTAGACAGGTTTGCTGTCCTTCGGTTCAATACCACGACTAAACTAGGGGGGTCTTATGTGCCTTGCCAATCCAAATCCCGGGGTTTAGATCACCGATTTTCATCACTGAACAGCAGGTCTTCGCAACTATGGGGTTAACCCCGTTTATCGCTTATAGCACAATGATGTGTAATAAAAATATCTATCATACTATTTATTACACTGAAGTGTGATACAAAGGACAGATAGGGACAAGTTTCTTTAACAGCGGTGTAAAAATTCAGGTGGAAAACGGACGACAGTTTAAGCCGAATCATGCAGGTACGACGGCAAATACCAACGTGCCTGCTATGTAAGAGAACTCTGTTGTCCGTATCATTATATCATTGTGCTGCAATTCTAATGGAACATGCATTTCTCCAATAAACGTAATACATCCCACCCTCAAAAGATCTTATTTCCTGCGAGCGTTTGCGGGGTCCTGATGTAGTCGCAGGAAATGCTCTCAAAGAGTACGTCTGTTCAAGTACATACCATCTAGGTTTCACTCATTACTTTCCAGCGGGGAGGATGTTTCCAATAAAGTAGGAGAGTGGCAAAAGTCAACAGACAGCATTTCAACCGAGTTCATAAATCACTGACAGCTGGTACAAGTAAACCTTACTTTTATCTCTGACAAAGCTCACAAACAAGCTAAAATATATTCTAGTAGCAATAATTGTAAGCAATGAGCGAGCAAGCAGCATCGTCAACCCGCGCGCACCCACCCACATATGGTTTACTTGCCACAGGCTGCTAGCCTATCCGGAGGAAATGGAAAGGGAAATGATTCCGAGCCGCTACAGATCGGAGCTTTGATCTGTTTGATAAATTCCTTATTACGCCCCCGCACGTACGTCTTGTTTTATTACAGCTCATTATGTGACCAACAGTAGCTAAGGTAAACCCGATTGTCACGAGGCACCATACTCCCTCATGCAGACCTTGTGTTCTTAGACATCCGGGGGGCCTTCGACTCCGTCGATAGAACCGCACTATGGAACTGTTTGTTGAGGAATGGAGTACCTGAGAAGTGTGTATTGATCCTCAAAGAGTTGTATTGTCATACCTCGCGTTGGGTTAGGGCCCATGACCAGCTTTCGCCACCCTTCGCCGTCTCCAGTGGAGTTTGACAACGCTGTCCTATATCCCCATTCCTTTTAACTTTGTCATTGAGGATGTTCCACAGAATGCTTTGTCCGGTCTAGCAAACGGTGGAGTTGAACTCCTCCCAGGGAACAGAATATGCCGATGACATCGCCTTACTGGGTGACGACACAGGCAGTCCAACAGGCTTTGAAAGGTTTGGTGGTCGAGGACTCCATGTAAGGTGTGCTTTTTGCCGACCAAATTGCAAAGTGCTTGGACAAGAATGGCAGGAGCCTGTGCCTGCACTCACCCTCTGTGGTGATCAGCTGGAAGTGACTAAGAGCTTCAAGCTTGATCGCAGCTGGTGATGGTGTTGGGGAGGAGATCAAATCACGAATAGCGAAAGCTAGAGCAGCTTTCACTAACCTGCGACAACAGTGGTGCCGCCATGACATCAGACTGACCCTTGAGGAAAGGATGTACATTGCCGTAGTGTTCTACTTTACGGTTGCGAGACCTAGCCCCTCCGCGTTGAGGATGCTAATCGACTTTCTTTATTCCACTACTGATGTGTCTGAAGCATTGCTCGTGTCTGGTGGGAACACCGGGTGAGCAATGACGGGGTTCGTCGTTATGTTGGGTGTCGATAGCCATTCCATAACAGAATTGATCGCTCTACACCGCCTCCGATGGCTTGGTCACGTTTTGCGTCTGCCCGCCGACTAACTTTACGTGCTCTGTTCGCACGTATCAGGAAAGGCAAGAGGGAAGCGCCGCGACAGTCGGACCATGAGATGGCGTAGAGGTATGAAGAAGCTGGCTTCACCCTTGACTTTGGTTGGTGCAGCCCGCCTTCCAGGTTAGAGCCCAAGAGATGAAGATCGTCGTTGGTTAGAGACGCTGAAAGATATGGCCTAGAATAGAAGTTGCGCGAAAGCTTTACGGTACGCCTGTTGAAATCCCGTGCCCTGTAAAAAAAACGATGAATTCGCATGAAAATATCAAAATGTGTACGGTGAAACAAAAAAAATTGTTCTCGTTTTTGAACCTGACTATCTGACTTCCTTTACACTGCATTGTATTCCACCTCCCCATTTCCTGTTGTTGTTGTGTTGCGTTGGCACCAAGCTTGCTTACAAGCCAGTGATAAATAGATATCAATATATCATGGAGACCTTCAAACATACCATGGGCTTGAGGTGGAGAAACCCAACATGTTATCATTCACTCCCGCCTCCGAAAGCCGCAGTATGGTCGGGGGTGCATGTCTTGGATTTTGGTGGATCACCCTTTCCACGGGAAATGCTCCTATACAACCAAACATCCCAAATAGCCTATGCTGAGGAAGCCCACTCACTACCTATTCGTGGCGGAGGTGTTTTCTCACCTAAGTGAGAGGACGAAAAGCCGATATCCGGGGCTGCAACCGGGTTGGTGGACCACTGGTAGTTCACCTAGCGGAGTTGGCCAAAAACCCTGATTCCAAAACCAACCAAGAGGAGGCGTAAGAACCACACCTACACCTCTTCGGTTATGACAATGGTCACCGGTTTAATTGGGTATCGCGGTGTATTGGGCACCCTGGGCTTTTGATCCCATCCAAAGGGCGTATGATACGATAAAATGGACACTGGGCCCCAGTGGATTGTGGTTGTCACACTTCCCCGCTACAATGCGGGTCAGGCTTTGACTAGCCGGTCGCGGATTCCTCAAGAAAATTCACCTGCCTTGGGCCTGGGCAACATGGCAGTACTTGGTCCACATGCAAACCGTGGACCGCTTTTCTTCTCTAAAGATTATTGTATGATGATTTGTTTGGCAAACAGTCTGTCCTCAGACGATTGTGTAATATAAGTATAATATAAGTATAAACTTGAATACTGTAGTCATATGTGGGGTGGGGCTTCGTCCATATCTCTTTTTTCTCTTGATCGGGTTAAACGTACAGCCATTTGTCTCATCAACGACCCGTCGCTAAAATTTGACCTGCAGTCACTAGCTCTTACTTTTACTTTGATCGACTAACTCCTGCGGGAGGATAAGTGGGCTTCCTGGATGTCTCTAATGATGGCGGCCCATGCATGACGAGTGGTAGCAAGGTTGACGCAGTGAAACCCAGTTCTGGTTCCAGTTGCGAATTCCATATACGGATTGAAGACCCAGAAATTCTAAATTAGTCTTGATCGTACTACTCCAGGTCTTGAATTTGCTTCGACATTCCAATCTTCATTTCGCTCTTTTATCCAAATGGGCAACCAAAAGACAGCAAACAAAACCGGCGCACGAAAGTGCATGGTTAACGGTTGTAACAACTGAACTGAACAACTCCAGGTCTTCAGTTGATCACCGAGTCGGCGACGCCATCCACGGTACGGTGCGCGGGCTACAGCCCGTCGCGAGAGTTGAGTATTGGGCCTTCGGAGCACATGGTCAAACCACTGGAGGCGCCGGCATTGTTGCATTTGTGAAAGCTTGTCAATATTCAAGCAGCGCCGTCGGAATTCATTATTGGAAATCCGATCTCTCCCATTTACTTTCAGGATGCAGCATAAGCATCAAGACTTCGAGCTTCCTTGTATATTGTACGCTTAGCGGCCAGATTTCACAACCTTACGTAAGGATGGCGCGGAGCATCATCATTATCATTGTACAGCGTAATACAGTGAAGCGAACTTCACTGATCGCTGCCAAACTCAATGCATATAAGATAAGTGAGGATGTGTAAGGAGGACAGTGATGGGGCCTATTTTTAGGGACGGGAAAAGAAAGCGAACCTCTATTGTCAACACACACAGTACACACCCCAATTGTGCATACATACAATTTCAAGCATTTTGGTCTG